CAAACAGTTCAAGAAAGTAACCCATTCCTCCACAGGCTATTCAAAACGACAGAAAGGGAGGCAATCCTTTTTAATTCTTTCTATGAAGCCAACATCAACTTATACCAAAGCCAGATAGAAACAAAAGAGAAGGAAAACTACAGAACAATATTCCTGGATAAGCACAGATGCAAAACTCATCAACAGAAGACTAGCCAACAGAATCGAACACATCAGAGCTACAACCGGACCAGGGCAGGATTTATCCCTGGCATGCATGGTTACTTTAACATATGCAAATAAATAAATGTGATATACCACATCAACAAACTGAAAAATAAAAATCATATGATCTCTATGGATGCAGAGAAGGCGTCTGATAAAACCCAACATCATTTCATGCTGAAAAGATTATACAAGATTAAGTAAAAACAAGTTAAGCAAGATTATGAATAGAAGAAATTCTTCTACACAAAGATTATATATATATATAATACATATATATATATATAAATTTTAAAGCAATTCAAACTGGAAACAAGGAATTAAAATTATCACTGCTCACAGGTTAATGATTCTCTACATAAGACAACCAAAAGACTCAATTAATTAAAGAGAATATGGGAACTTGCAAGAGAATTTCACAGAGTAGCAGGGTAATCAATGAACATAAATTAATGGCTGTGGTATACACAAACAACTCAATGGCTGAGAAAGAACTTACAAGTACAGTTTCCTTTAAAATAGTGGAGAAGAATTTAAAAACTTTGGAATAAATCTAACCAAGACATGGGAAGACCTTTTTGATGAAAATTACAAACCATTAAAACCAGAAATAAAAGAAGACATCAAAAGATGGAGAAATTTACCACATTCCAGGATCAGCAGACTCAATCTAATCAAAATGTCCATACACTGATTTAATGCACCCCAATCTCAGAAAAGATGACAGGCAAATTCACCAAAAACACAAGATGAAGAACAGCCGAAACTATCCTGAAGAATTAAAATCTAGCTGGAGAAATCATAATTCCAGACCTCAAGACATAGTACAAGGCAGTGGTCATCACAATAGTCTGGTACTGGTACAGACAAGAACATTAGTGGAACAGAACAGAAAGCCCAGAAGGAAGCCCACATGTGTACAGCCAACTTGTCTTCAACAAGAGAACTGAAACTAATCCAGGGAAAAAGCCTAGACTCTTCAACAAACGCTGTTTGGACAACTGGATAGCAGTCCTGTCACCTCAAACAATAAACAGCTTTAAAGGGGTCAAAGACTAAATCTTTACCCAGAAACCATCAAACTATTTTAAAGGAAATCATAGGAAGCACTTTGTAGACACTAGGAAAGAATTCTTACCAAAAGCACACCAAAGCCAAAAAAAAAGGCACTACATCAAACTGAAGCTTCTGAACAACAAAGGAAACAAAGTGAAGATGCAACCAAACGAATGGGAAAAAATCCTGGCACACTACACAAGAAAAGGGGGATAATATCCAGTATTTACAAAGAACTTCAGAAACGCAACAACAAAACAAAATACTATTAAGAAATGGACAAAGAAAATTAACAGGCATTTTTCAGAAGAACAAAATCAAATGGCTAATAGAAATATGAAAAAATACTCAGGCTTCCCAGCTATCAGGAAAATACAAATAAAAACCTCATTGAGGTTCCACCGAACTTCAGTTGGGACTGGCCAACACTCAGAACTCTACTAACACCTGCTGGCATGGGTGTGGAGGAAAGGTACCCTACTTCACTTGTAATGGCTGTCAGTATGCGAAGTACTAAGACAACTAAAAATTGACCTATTGAATGACACAGCTATCCTACTCCTGGAAATGTATCCAAAAGAAGCAAAACCTGCTGATGAAAATGTGACCCGCAGTCCTGTATATACAGCAGCACAATTCATTACAGTGAAGACATGGAAACAACATAGATGCCCATCAGAAGAGGAATGGATAAAGAAACTGGTACATCTAGTCCATGGAATACTACACAGCCATTAAAAAGAATGGAATTCTACCATTTACAACAAAATAGTCCCAAATTAAGACCATTATGTTCAGTCAAATAAGTCTCAAAGAACAAATACCATACATCCTCTCTGCTATAAGGTAGCATTTATGTAAACACAAGATAAATATCTGTAAACATGTATGTATATATATTCTCACAATGAATTGTAGAATGGAGACTAGCATACCAGGGAGTGAAAATACACTGCAGTATGCATCTCTACTCCCAAGGAAACTGTTAAACATATCTTGATAATACTATACAATTTTTTTCCGCCATTGCAAATGACTACAATACCATGATATACCTAAACAGCAGAGTTTTGGACTTGTGACTGTTGCTGAAGGACTACACTATTATACTAGCCTGGGGGAAGATGGCAGGGGAGGGAGACAAGAGGGGTAGAGGGGAGGAATCCCCATAATTACAAAATCATATTACGGAAAAGAGCAAGAAAAAATTTTAACACTTCTGTACAGCAGAAGTTTATTAACAGGATGAAGAAGCAAACTATGAAATAGGAGAAAATATATATTGCAAACTATTCCACTGGAAGGGAATAATATCCAAATTCATTAACAAACTCCAACTCAGTGACAAAATCCTAACCATTCAATTTTAAAACAACCAGCTTCTTGTATAGACATTCATCCACAAAATGTCAATCATCAAAGAGCAATGTTTACTTCTGCCTCCACAGGCTCCACTTTCATGGATTCAATCAATTACAGAGGAATTCAAAACAAAACAGAAAACTTTTATCTGTAGACAACACGTACAGATTCTTCCCTTACCACCACTCCTCAAACAAAACTAAGAAAACTATAATAAATAGCACTTACATTGCCCTAGGCACAAGTAATCCAGAGATGTTAAGTATTTGTATGTATCTGCAGGAGGGACGATAATATAGGAAGATACTGAACAGCAACAATCAGCAGAAATGGACCAATCTAAACCGCTGGACCGCACCACTAAGATGCTCAGTGACGAAAAATCCCAAGTTCTTGTGAATATGCTGAGAATATTGAATCCTTTTTCATGGTAAAATGATATTGCTGCTACAAAAAACAGTATAGAAGTTCCACAGAAAGCTAAAATGTGAATTCCTACATAATCCAACAATACTTCCGGAGATATTAGGAAACATATATATAAATATATATATATATACACACACACACACAAGCCTTAAAATCAAAATTTCAGAGAATTTCGAAAACCATGCTCACTGAATTATTACACTAAAGATGAGGTGTGAGCAATCTAAATGTCCAGAAACAAATAAAAAAAAATGTAACATAAACAAGGAAATATTAAGCACCTTTAAAGGACAGGAAATTCTATCATGTAGTGTAACACGGATGAGCTCTAGGAATACTGCATTAAGTAAATATTCCAGTTACAACAAAGGGCATACACTATACAATTCCACTTCCAAGAACTAAACAAAGCAGTCAAACAGAAAAAAAACCTGAATGATGATGCTTAACCTAATTTTTAAAGTTATATGAAAAATGAGTCTTGATGATTTAAACAACTAGATATCCCAGTAATCTCACAAGCTGCGGGGCTTTGGTACAAGCTTTGAATACCAGAAGCCTGTGCTGACGGAGCAAGGCCACACGCAACAGAGCGACAACACGCTTCCGAGGCGCTGCCAGCTCTTCCCTCCTGAGCAGACAGCTGAGTGGATGTCTTCTGAGGAAAGCACGGCAAGCCGGCACCGTGGCACAGCATGTTCAGCTGCCACCTGCAATACCAGAAACCTAGAGGTGACATTTCACGTCCTGGCTGCACCACGTCTGATCCAGAAGGTGGTCCCCAAGTGCTTCAGTCCCTAAATCCGTATGGAAAACCTGAAGGAAATTCCAAAATCCTGGCTCTGGCAAGGCACAATTCTGGCCACAGCAGCCAGTTACAGCAGCGAAGCAGCAGATACAAGACACCTGTCAACAACTTCATCCATCTACGTGTCTGTGTGTGTGTCTCCCTGTTCCTCTGTGTGTGTGTGTATGTATGTATGCAATTCTGCCTTTCAAATAAATGCTTAAAAAAATGTAACTAAAAAAAGAAGGAAGGGGATAGATGTTGGATACACAGGACGGGTTTGCGTCTCTAACACGTCTGCAAGCTGACTTCAAAAGTGACTCTCAGTACAATTCCCGTCCGATGGCCCCACCATGTCCATGATTTTGCTTTCTGAAATCTCAGTTGCCTAAAGTCAACTGTGGCCCAAAAATATTACATGGGAAAAATTCAAGAAACAACTTAAAAATGTTAAATACTTTCACTGTAGTTCTTACAAATTATCCTATTTTATTATTAATTAATGTTGTTAACCTCTTTATTGTGTCCAATTCATATACTAAATTTTCTAACAGCTACATGTTTAAAGGAAATAAAATACAAGTATGTATGGGTTGATTATCCACAATTGCAGATACCCAGGTGGGTCTTAGGACTATATACCCTTCAGGTGAGGTAGACACTTACCGTACTACAAATCAGAATCACAGAGCCAAATATGGAAGACCAAACTAACAAAGTACATGATACAATCCTCATTTCCTAAATTTATGGTAATTCTTCCAAGCAACTTAGAAATCAAATAACAAATTATCAAAAATTATGATGAGGGGCCCAGAGCAGTAGCCTAGTGGCCAAATTCCTCACCTTGCATCTCCACTTCCCATCCAGCTCCCTCGCGTGGCCTGGGAAGGCAGTGGAGGATGGCCCAAAAGCCCCGAGACCCTGCACTCACAAGGGAGATCTAGAAGCTCCAAACCCCTGGCTTCAGATCGGCTCGGCTCCAGCCATTGCAGCCACTTGGGGAGTGAATCAGCAGATGGAACATATTTCAGATCTTTCTCTCTGTCTATCCTCTCTGTAAATCTGACTTTCCAATTTAAAAAAATAATAAAAATTTTTAAAGATGGTAAGAATGGTACTACTATGCACATGTGTAGACACATGGGGTGAACAACCTTACCTTCATCAAACTCGTTATCGTCCTCCGTATGCTGGGGAAACGGAAAGCAGTTGGTGATTTCAAGCCGGTCTTCTACAACCAGGCCCAAAAGCACTCCTTGAACCACCTCGGTTCCTTGACCTTCTTCCTGATAATGTTTGATAATCTTTAATACCACCTACAAGAAAATACAGAAAGGTGTTTAAAAATCACCCTTCTTTATTTCTAAGAAAAACAAAACATAATAGCAGGCTGCAAAGCACAAAGTAAACTGAATTAAACCAATGTCTATCTAGCACACCATTCCCTTTGCCATGGTCTAAATTATACAGCTCCCAGGAGGTAAATGCAGGTCATGAAACTCCGCGAGTTTGAAATAATGTCTGAGTTTTGAGGTCAAGGTCCCCAAGACAGTCTAGCCAATCAAATAACACCCCTTCAGCCTGAGGAATCACTGAGGAAGTGATCCTCTTATCAGAAAGATGACGACCTGACATGAAGATAAGGCCATCAGTAAACACAGAGCGCAAGCCCTCGATTCTCCGGACGCGGCGCTGGAGGACCTTTCCTTCATGCTCAGATCCCTCACAACAGCAGGGAGAAACGCCGGGAAACCTGGTTGGTGACCGGGAACACACAGAGAGCCTGCTATCCTGTACTTCCCACTGTCCTCAGCAAGAGGCACACAATAAATAATCACTACCAGAATACACACTTCTTGAATTACTGTCTGCCTGAAGTGTCACACAAACGTACCACAATGTACAACTGCACAGTTCATACTGCAGTCCATAACAATCGCCCCTAGTGATTCCTCCAACATAGGGCTGTTGATATACGCAAAGTGCTTTGACCACTAGCTCAGCACCTACTTGTTATTATTAACATTAATATTTAACAAAAGCCAATGACCTTGAGAACTAAAAGGCAACACAGCCTAAAATCTAAAGTTCTCACAGGGAAATTAAGCCTAACAAGAAAATAAAAACGTATTAGCATTTTACTAATTAGTGCTCATTTCAAATACCTTCACAAAAACTCTAATTAAAAAAAAAATTAAGGGCCCAGCGGCACGCTAGCGGCTAAAGTCCTCGCCTTGAACGCGCTGGGATCCCATAACCATAAAATCGGGCCTGGCACACTGGCCTAACAGCTAAAAGTTCACGCCTTTTACATGCCAGGATCCCATATGGGCGCCGGTTCTCATACCAGCAACTCCACTTCCCATCCAGCTCCCTGCCTGTGGCCTGGGAAAGCAGTCGAGGACAGCACAAAGTCATGGGACCCTGCACCCGTATGGGAGACCCGGAAGAGGCTCCAGGTTCCTGGCTTCAGATCGGCACAGCACTGGCCACTGCGCTCACTTGGAGAGTGAATCATCGGGCGGAAGATATTCTCTGTCTCTCCTCCTCTCCGTATATCTGACTTTGTAATAAAAATAAATAAATCTTAAAAAACAAAAGACAGTTAACTCCAAGGCATACCTTTACAGTCTATACTGAAGTGACAGGAACGGAATCCTGAGCTTTTGCATTGTAAATCTTTATTTAAGTAATTGGATCAGAATCCTAAACACTGTAAATTTTTATCTGCTTTCCGCTCTATGTCACAAAATAACCCATTATGTATTTACCCAATATCATGTAGCTATTGATAATTGCTATACAACCCCCCATTTATTTTGTTCAATGCGCTTTTTGTTTGCAGCAAGAGATGGCCGCCCAACTGGACATTAAAATCATTTAACTCGCAAAAAAAAAAAAAAAAAAACCTAGTTAATAACCACTTAGCAACAAGGTACACTTATTGACATTATATGCCAAACAACATTCTACCTATTTTTACATGTTATTACTCACATAACCAACCACCTTTGGAGAAAGGCATTATAACGGTCACATTTACAGAAAACACGAGGCAGAAGAAAGAACGGCTAAAGGCCAGACATTTGGAAAGTGACAGCATTTAAACCCACGCAAGCTCTAGTCTACCTGTATACTTTAGTAACAAGGCACTGACTTCCTACGAGCACCTGAACTGATAATTGAAGCACTGAGTTAGCAGGAAGGACAGGCATCTGGCCTAGCGTTAAGACTCCAGGTGAGTAGCCCACACCCTCTACACACTGCAGCAAAGTCTCCGCTCTGTCCCTAACGCTGATCCCAGGTGCCAGCAGACAATGCCTCAATCTGTGGGTCCCTGATAGTCATGTGACAACCCAGACTGAGCTCCCAGCTGCCAGTTTCTGCCTGGCTCTGCCCAATGCGGCTGGTATTTAAGGAGAGTATCAGTAAATGGGAGTTCATCCATTCAGTCTCTGCCACTCAAAGAAAAACACCTTAGGTAAAAATAAAAAATACAAGTGTGTTAGCAAAGACCTTACTACAAGTACACTCAAAAACTTTTAAGACAATACATTTCTGGAGCAGAGAGCGCAATGGGCAATATTAAGGAAGAACACCAACTGCAGGCACCAGCAGACCTTCAACACTCTGAAATGAAGGATGGGCTCCCACTGGCAACAGTGGGCCAAGGAACACTGGCATCCCCTATGGGCGTGCTGGCTCCATTTCCAACCTATCTTCCTGCTGACCCACCTGGGCAGCAGTGGACCATGACAGACCAAGTACTCGGAGTCCTGTCACCCAGTGGGAAGCCCAGGGAGCGGTCCTGGCTCCTGCCATTAGACTGGCCCTCTCCTGGCCTCTGCAGGCACGTGGAAGCTGAACAGGGCACAAGAAAGCGCATGCTCAGGCACAATCTCTCGCTCTCTAAGTCTCCCACTGTCTCTGTCACTCTGTCAGTCTTTTTTTTTTTTTTTAAGATTTATTATTCGAAAGTCAGTATGAAAGAGGCAGAAGAAAAAAGGAGAGAAATAGAGGCAACTTCCACTACTGGCTCACCCTGAGATGAGCACAATGACCAGAGCTGAACCAAATTAAAGTCAGGAGCCAGAGGTACATCTGGGTCTCCCACACGCATAGCAGCATCTCTCAAACTCTCAGGGCACCCTCCGCTGCTTCCCCAGACACCAGCGAACTGCACTGGAAATGCAACAGCCACGACATGAGGTTGATGCCATGCCCATATGAAATGCCAGCCAGGAATGCACACAGCAGCTTTACTTGCACCACAACACAAACCTTCACATTCCTGGAGGAAACATCTCCCCACTGTAAGAATGGCTATCAGCCGCAGCTCCAGCATCCACTAGCAACACTCCTCAGAAAGCTATGCAACCTTCCAAAACTAATCTTCCAATCTGTAAAACGGCCTAACAGCATGATTGATATTATTAAAGATGAGACATGCAGAATACTTCAGCAATGATACACCAAGCTGATGAGTTATTACAAACACTTCTACCAGCTTGCACAGATAACCTAGACTCCTGAGTAGTTACCCTTACACTGGGATCATTATTTTGGCACAGTTTCACAAGCAAGCCAGGTCAAAATATCCTTATACAATTTTAATCAGGAAAAAGACAAAAGATTATCATACTTATTTCAATATAAGTTACTGCCATCCAAAACAGACATTTATCTCACCCTTTTAAGTATCACTGGATTATTACATTCCTCTTTCTAAAAAAAAAAAAAAAAATATTTGTATTGGAAAGTCAGATTTAAGAGAGGAGAGACAGAGAGAAAGATCTTCCATGCACTGGTTCACTACCCAGGTGGCCACAACAGCCAGAAGGGACCAAGCTTAAGCCAGCAGCCTGGAGCCTCTTCCAGGTCTCCCATACAGAAACAGGGTCCCAAGGCTTTGGGTCGTCCTCAACTGCTTTCCCAGACATCAAGCAGGGAGCTGCATGGGGGGTAGAGCAGCTGAGACACAAACTGGAGCCCACACAGAATCTCAGCAGTTGCAAAGCAAGGAGTCAGCCACCAGGCTACTGCACAGGGCCCTATATTAATTTAGTAACAACAACCAAAGAAGAAATTAGTGAGAGGACCCAACCACTGAGAATAAAGCACAGTGGTTTGATTACCTGTCACAAACCATAAACACAAATATGAATAGACAGGAAAACTGTAAAGTCTTAATCCATGTGACAGGAGCACTGAGAAAAGCACACCTAACACCAGTGAAGGATCATCAGGCATCATTAGACTCACTCTGAAAGGCAAACCTGAGGACCACCAGTGGCAGTTTCAGGAAAGATGCCAAATGTAAAAAATAACTCTCTTTGACATTCAAGGGACCACCACCCCCTCCCCCGCCAAAAAAAAAGCCAAAAGAGAGGCTAGATTATTTAAGTAATTTCCAACTCTAAAATTTATAACCTTGCCATTTTAATATCTGGTGAAATAAACCACTGAGAAAAACATTATCACTGAAAGTAAGTTGACTCATCCTTCATTTTGACATTTTATGGTCTTCTGCTTCTTGGAGACACACGAAAGTCTCAATTCTTTATTCCAAATTATAATGTAGATGGGCACCATGCTTGCTGCAAAAGTTAGTTTGCCACTTGGAAAGCCCACATCCCGTATCCCACGGCCTGGGTCCTTGTTGTGGCTCCACACTCCAATCGAGCCTACTGCTCACGCACACCTTGGGAGTCAGCACGCGTGGCTCGGGTGGCTGAAATCTCCATCATCCATGCTGGATGCCCAATCTAGATCCGGGGCTTGTAGATGCTCACCCATACCTGGATGCTGCAGGCACTTCAGAGAGAGAATGCACAACAGAAAACCTCAGTATGTCCCAATTTCTATGGTCTCACTGCCATTCCAAAGTAAGACTTTTTCCCCCTAGTTTTAAACAAAAAAACGGATATACATACATTCTCTATCCTATCTAGATAACCAAGAATCTGCCAAGAATCTCTGCGTGTCTGTGTATAGACCCACGTGTTTTATGCATTAGCAGTCTGTGGGACAATCCAGGTTCTACTTGGTGTCACATCTTTCAAAAAATCTCATGAAGAAGAACAGATGTTTCACTGGCCAAGTCCTCAACACCCAGCTCAAGTACTAGCTCACAAAAGATCTGAAAAAATACCTACTAAAGGGCCTGGCATGGTAGCCTAGTGGCTGATATCCTGCCTTATATGCTCCTGTATCCGATATGGGTGCCCATTCATGTACCGGCCACTCCACTTCCCATCCAGCTCCCTGCTTGTGGCCTGGGAAAGCAGTCAAGGACAACCCAAGGACTTGTGACTGT